GGGTAAAGGATGCAATTTTCGTCCTCAAGTCTTCTGATCTGGCATCATCATAGAAATTGTTCAGAAAAGCATTCTTGGTGTCCTCCCAAGTGGTCAGTGAACCAGGCTATAGTTGCTTCAGCCAATATGCAGCATCTCCTCCAAGTGAGTAAGTAAAAAGCTTGCAGAACAGAAAGTCATAGCTAACTCCATTAGCTTTGACACTTGAAGCCAAATCCTCAAACCTCTCAATATGATCCATTGGATGCTCATGAGGTAAGCCATGGAAAGGATGCTGTCCCACCAGCTGATAATAAGCAGGCTTGAGCTCAAAATCATTCATCTGGAAAGCAGGAGGGCGGATTGCAGCTCTGTTGGCATAAAACTTGTCAGGTCTGTTGTAATCTCCTAGAGTCCTCTGAACAAAACGTCCAGCAGCATTTTCAGCAACTTCAGCAGGAACTCCATAATCCTCTCCCACACGTTGAACCACCTGTTCCATGATGACATTTCCATCCTGATCCAATCTCTGCCCTTCTTCATTCCTCCTATTTCCATCTCTGTCAACCAAGTGACCTTCCGCATCTTCAACCAAGATCAGTGGAGCAACCATTGTAGACTGTTTCTTAGTTTTCCTGATGGTCCTCTCCAACTTAGCGAGTTCGTCGATGCTCAAAGTCACAAGCTCCATCTCTTTGTTGCGATTAGGCATACACCTGAAACCAGCACAAAGAAAAGTAGCAAAAGTCAGTAAACAAATAAAAAACTTAAACAAAATCCTAATACTAAAAATCAATAAGCAGCTATTACTCCTCGACAACGGCGCCAAAAACTTGATAAGGCTCAGGTTTTATCCAAATAAAACTACTGCCACAGCAATGCAATCGTAGTATAAGGGGTTATCGAATCCCAAGGGAGCAAGTAAACTACACTAAAGAGTTCAGGTTCGGATTAAGCTAAGCATTAAGTAATGAATGTAACGCGAAACAGCAAAATAGATGTAAGTGGACGTTTTTGGGATTGTTCTTAAAGTTCAGAAAGCTAAAGGCGCTAAGTCAGGACAATTCGCAGGTTGAATCTGAGAGTGTAGAATGCATGCAATCAGAAATGAATTATAACCATCTTAAATATGAATCACAAAGATATAACTAATCAATTCTCATTGCAGAAGTTAACTATGCCTAAATCACAAAGTTTCAAATCTCTTTGCAAACCCTAAGAACCTAAACATGCAGTAATGATCAGGTTCAATTGTTCACAAAACTCCTAAGCCAAATCTCTTTGCACTAGGGCGTTTTGCTCATCTAATACTAGTTCAGGTGATTAATAATGCTCTCACATCTATCAAACAACCCAGAGTTTCGAAATCCAGATAATGTGTCTAAGAAATCGATATGAATGCAAGCACAAATAAAGAACCAATGGATTTCCTATAAGTTTAGCAATTCTACAAACTCTTCTTCAACCTTTGAAAATCCCTAACTTAATTAACAAACTACTCAGACATGGTGAATGAAACAAACATCATGAAAAGAATAGATTGCATAAAAGAAATAAGAAATAGAAATAAAGGAGTTTGAAATCTGCTCTGAAGGAGTCTGATTTGTCTCTCCAAAAGCTCTGCTATAAATCTCTCTCTAAAGCTCTAAAAAAAGAATACGATACAAGATAAAAGCCAACAATGGCTGAAAACCTAATATATACAAGCTAAAACACGATCTGTGGCCTTTTTGCAAATACTAGAACTTCTGGACCAAAATTGCAATTTCTTCCCAATCTTTTAAAAACCAGCACAATCCTTCCTCTACAGGTGACGAGCGTCACTAGGTCAGTGACGTTTGTCATCCAAGCCAGAACAACGCTTCTGACTTGCTTCATTCGGGGTTGTATCTTGCAATGCTCCAAAAAGCTCCAAAACTTCCAATTACACTCCAGACATGCTTTAACCTACAAAAACTCTACTAGGACTCTAAAAAGACCAAAAAAACTCAATAAAAAGAACTTATATCATGGTTAAAAATCATGATATATTAGCTATCTATCTCTCTCTATGTCAGTCCTTAGTACATTTTGAGCTTGGTAATGACTTAGGATACTAACATTCTTCCTTAATGTTGAGAATTAAGAATGATTTATTTAGTCGCATCGAGTTGGATATAGCCAATTAGTTCTCATCCATGTAGTCCCATTTTGGTTCCGGTGACTTTTGTTGCCTTTGTTTATGCAGTTTTTGTTAATGGACTTCTTTTCATTTTCAGTCTAAAAGATGGAAACCTTAATTGGGAGATGTTGAAGTTTAACTCAAGACTTTTCTCTGCTGAGTATGCGGCTTTCTCTCTTATGATATATATCTTTGTTGTTAATTTTAAGCAAAGTGGGAAGATTTTGTAAACGACTTTGCTCTACACATAATTATTGTTTACTTTAAGCAAAGTGGGGAGATTCTGTAAACAAATTTGTTGCAATCGTTCTTTATTTTTTTTTTTTTCAGGTTGGAGATTTCTATGAGGCTATTGGCATAGATGGTCTAATTCCTTTTGGCTGTCTTCGTTCAGATAGTGTTCCAAAGGCTGGCTGCCCCGTTTTGGTACAAAATCCTCTTCAATCTGTAATTTCAAGCTTAATTTAATGGTTATTTTGTTTATACGATAAGAAAAAACTAGTTCACATCTGGCGTTGTTTTTTTTTTTTTGACCAAATTTAATGCATTAATTTAAATGTGACAAGAGTTTACAATTGTGGAACCAAAGTTTACAATTCAGAAAACATACATTTGCAAAAAAACGTATGAGAACAAGCTAGAAAAAGAACCAATGATGGATCTCTAGATGAGGAAGGGCAGAGGATTAACCAACGTATCTAGCATGGTCTCATTGACCGCGATTTCCATGATTTTTAACCGTCTTCCATTTCAAGTTTTCTCGAAACTTTTGAGATGGTTTAACAGGGCATTCTCGGAGGGTTCTCTGACAAGATGACTCTTGATCCACCTCTTGAGTATTCTCAAACGAAAAAGGTTCTGGAGAACTACAAGCAAAACTCCCAACCATATCATCATTACCAAAGACTGTGGATCATCACCAGAAGCAATGGTTTCTGACATAGGAACGAGTGTGTTAACTTGAGTAGTAGGGACATCCTCCTCTTGAGAAGACTTAATTGATTCAGTGGCGGTCTCCTCTTGAGGAGTCTTAATTGATGCAGTCTCCTCTTGAGGAGTCTCAGTAGTTCCAGTGGCAGCCTCCTCTTGAGAAGTCTTAGTTGAAGCAGCCTCCTTTTGAGGAATTTCAATAGGTTCAGAGATTACGACAGCCTCAGATAAATCTGTAGAGTTTAAAGATTTATGAGCAGGCTCAAGGATATGAAAAAAGTTGTTACCAACTGTTTGTGTAGAAGTGGAATTTGCATCCGTGGGAGCCTCATGCACAATGATATCTGTAACTCTTGATGCTATTGGAGCTGTTGGAACTTTAGTTAGAAACTTGTCTTGTTGTAAAGGAGAAAAACCAAGACAACGAGAGGCTTTGTGTTCGAGTTGACCACATTTAGCATAATTCGATGGCAACCAAGAGTATAAAACATCAACCATAGTGATTGATCGACTTTCATCCTCTATTGCAACTTTTGGTGGGAAAGGCTTGTCAGACAAAATTTTTGCTTCTCCCATTTGTGTAGGATCAAGCCACAGCTTGCTAGTAATCATCAGAGCTCCAAATCAAGAACCAATCCAACTAATCCTGTTTTTTCAGAGTAAGCCAGACAGGAATTATGTTTATCTCAAGAATAGTAATGGTTCCTACTGGATTCCAAGAGGAGACAAACATTAAGCAATCACCAACATGCCACAGACCACGCTGAAGAATTCATTGCCAAGTAAAAGCATCCGGAATGTGGAAAAGGAAAAAGGATTCACCTAGCTTATGGGTAAAGATCCTACACCTTTTGCCCCAAATCCTTGACATAACTGCATGAATTTGTCCTCCAGAAAGAGCAGCATAATGATAGACAGCTATCACAGTCTCTGAATCTCTTATTTTTGTTAAACGATAGTTGTGAAGCTAATTTAATTTGAAAATTGTAGTTGCTTACACAAAAAAGCTCTGACAATAGATAAACCAATGATATACCATGTAAATATTTTTTTTATAAAAAGGGATATAGTTATAATTTGATAGTGCAGATAATATAAATATATACAAAAAATTATTATATTGTTTGTATGATGTATTACAATATTTGATAGTGTTTTATAGGTTAAAAGATATAATAAAAATAGATAAAAAGTGAAAATTAGTAAACACAAAGAAAACTAAAAAGAAAAGTAATAAATGAAAGAAAATTAGATACTCATATTTTATATATATCTTTAAAGTGGTATATCTCCCAAAAAATATTTAACATAGTATTATAAATTAGTTGCTGATATATAAATTAGATTACAATACAGTTTTATGCAAAATATATGTAATCACAAAAATTACTATATTTACGAAGTAAGATATTATGTATGAAAGATATAAAAAAGTATGAAATTCATATAAAATTATTTTATTTTATAATAAAATATATTTTATTGAAAAATCTTAGTCTAGTAAATATAAAAATAGAAATCTGATAAATGTAAACTCGAGTTTGCGGTGTTGTTTGAAGAGGTCTTCTCTTTGGTTCTAAAATTAATTTGCGTTAGATGCAATCATACAAATTTGTAATTCCGTTTAGATGATTGGATCTGGTGTAAGCCCGGTTCAATTGAGGTAATTAAACCGAATTTAGTCTAACCGAGTCGAACTGGGTGCGATATATCCGGTTTAAATCCTTAGTTTTGCTTCTCGTTCCCCTTTCAATTCGATCGAAAACGAAGCTCGAGACTAGATCAATCGGAATCCGATGACTACGAATTCTAAAGATGATTGATAAGTTTCACATTCTGTTGCAAAAATTGCAAAATTATTGATTCTCGAAACTCTTTTTCTAGAGTTTTGAGATTATCTGATTGTCAGAACAAACAAACAAACAAAAAAGCTTTCTCTCTTTCACTCTGAATCTGTAAAAAACTCGGGTCCTATAGTAACTGGGGCCAACATTTCTTCAATGGTTAAAACGTGCATGTAAGTCTCTTGGAGCTCCGTCACGACCTCCTCCATTTTTGGCCGTTGATTCGCCGGGAACGCAAAGCATTTCACCATCAACTTCAAAGCACGGTCAAACGCTTCGCAATCAATGTCCGCTTCATCCATCCTCTGATCCGCAAATGTGCCTGCGCCAAGTCGCGGACCTATCTACACATCACAAATAGGTTTAATTACATACAACAACAACAAAAGTTTCAACCTTTATATGGAGAAAAGAGAGAACATTATGTGTGTGTGAGTGCATTACCCAGTCAATCAATTCATCGATTGTTGTTAACTCTCCAGGTTCTTCACCGGTTAAAAGCTCAAGAAGAAACAAACCGAAGCTAAACACATCGCTAGTCCCATTGAAAGCCTCCTGGATATGTAAACCAACCCTATAGACATCACATGTGTTACTTGAAAACTTAGTAAGAATGATGGAAACTTATCAAAAAGATGATAAAATGAGTGAATCTGTAGTACTCTAGATCATCATCATCATTAGCTTCTTCTTCGCATCTCATTTCAACTTGTCTTGACCATCCCTCATCCGAAACTTTCGTGATGAATCCGTAATCAAGGAAAACTTTAGCCGTCTTGAATCTATTGTGCGACAACGGAGGAGTTAAGCTGTGCAAGTGTTGCAACCCTGCGTCGTCAAGAAAATAAGAATGAGACAGAAATCCAAAAAACAAAAAACAATCATATATAATATGGTTCTTGAATCATCCATTGATATTTACCTTTCGCGGCTCCAAGAGCTATAGATATCCTTTTCTTCAGGTTTAACTCATCGCAGCCTATCCAATGATATAGAGAGGTTATAATATAATATTACATATAAATGATTTTATGGACCAAAAGTTTGTAAGAGTTCATTATAATGTAACTTTGCTTACGCTGTAGATAATCTCGCACGTTACCGTAAACCATGTACTCATAGACGATAATTTTCTCCCCGTTTTCGCAGCAGTAACCCAGTATATTAACCATATTCATATGTCGAATTTTAGACTGATAATAAACCTGAGAGTATAACATATACATTATTTCCCATTAACACGCATTGAAAGAAAAAGAAAAAAAACCAACCAGTTTTTGTGTTACGTGTACCTCAGCCAAGAATCTAGGATGATAAGAAGCTGTCAGAATTTTGATTGCTGCGATCGTTCTTCGGAGAAACCCAAGATAAATTGGGCCGAAACTTCCGTACCCAACACGATGATTCGCCTGAAAACCGTACGTTGTTTCCCTTATTTCCTCTAACGAGAACTCAAACAGGCCTTCGTGTGCCAATGCAATTACATGAGAATCAAAAATGTGTTACATTTAGATTGCTCTTTTAAAAATTCTACAACTACAATCATTTGAAGATATTATAGATTTACCAAGCCTTCTCAGGAGCAATGTGTGGATGTCGCAAACTGGATTCTTGGGAAGTGATTTGTAGTAGTGGATCAACAGTAACACGATTATAATCGCTATGATTGCAAATGCAGCAGCCGCGATGTATATAGACATCAAGGCGCTATGCTTCAAGATCCAGGCTTTCATTGATCTCAACATACTATACACGACATATCAAATTGGTGATCACAAACAATAAATTTCACTGAGGTCAAAATAAAACACACTACTTTTCCCAACAACAACACACACAAAAATCATTTGGATTTACATGATTATATAATTCCCAACCATAAAATATCATCTAGTTTTCTTAATCGATTTAAAGAACTTTCATTGCAAAATTCAATTTTAAGGCAGCAACAAATAATCTGTGTAAATTGCAAACTACAGTCATACAAAATTATTATTCATCGATCAATTCAGCACATACCTTTCCATACTCGTTGAGAATGAGAAATTTAGATGATTTTTTTTGTCAACACCTCTTCTCTATAAATCTCTTCCGTTAGAACGGTTCAGAAATCCAAATCGATAGAAAATTTTATATAATTATATATTGCAATATACTTTTTTGAGATAAGAGAAGATATAACAGACGACCAGTGATACTTGTTGTTTAAGTGTTCTTTTTATACATAAATAGGCTTACTCAGAAATTATGCTTAAACAGTAAAACTAAACTACACAAAGTTATTTTACAATCTTTTAAGGAAACGCAGCAAAAAAATATCATCTAATCTTATCTAACTAATATTTACGGTATAGAATAAACCATATATTTTTGGAAAAACTATATACCATATATGTTGATTTTGTCTATTATTAATATAATTATGATGTAAATTTATATAAATACCCCATAATTTATAATTTTCAAGATTGATTTATTTTAAAACGCAGTATCGCCTATATTTTCATAAACTAAATTTGCTGCAAAATTTAAAATTTCAAAACAGTGACATTAGTGAAAATTGTAAACCATAATCATACAAAATCATCGAATCATGGATCAGTTCATATAAACCTTTTTCATATAGGTTGAGAAAAAATTATGATTAATTTCATAGTAAATTTTGTATTTATGTAATAGGCTAGTAGGTAGAACATAGATTCAAAGATATTTGTTTTTTTAGTGTTTCACTATACATGAATAATTTTGCTTAAATGATAAAATTAAACTAAACAAAAAGTATTACCATCTTTAAATAAAAAAGCAACAATGAAAATTAACTCTAAACTCTGGATTTGGGATAGTCATGAGCAAACTTTATACTGCTTTTTCTCCTCAGGAAATTAAAATTCTCGAATAACTTGTACAATGTTTTACGTTTTATTTTCCTTAAATTTGGAAATCTCACCATCATCCATTTTCTTGGAGATTCAGTGGGACACTGTAATTTTGCCTATTAAGTTGTTAAAACTGCCAATTCAATCATAGAAACAGAGTACACAATAGACGCATAGTTAATCATTAGACCAACCTCCATAAAGAGTAATATAACACTCAACTTACAAAGTAATTCTTCACATATGCTTAAATTAGACGTGCATAAAGTGAAGACTTTTTCAAAGCTCAAAGTGAAGATATGTTTGAAAGGATCTCTCTCTCAAAATGGCATAAAAGTCTTTTTGTTAAATCCGAAATAATTCTCTTCTTTAATTTTATTATTTTCCTAACCAAGTTAAACATTCAAAATATTGAACTGGGCAGCAAAAAAAATTCGGAAAACGCCACACTTATGTTTTCAGGTTTTCAGGTGTTTACTTCTTACTCGTAGGAAACTTTTTTTCCAGTCAAAAGAGAAAAGATCCAATTTTTTTTTAAGAAACAATAAAATATTAACTAGTTAATGATTAGGAAACAATTTACAGATAATGCAAGCATTGGACAGCTTGCAAAAATAAAATAGCTTTTATGTTTTAAACATTCTAAAGTTATTATAACCCCTTGTTTCCTAGGTATCTCTACCCGTACTATGCTCCGGGATATTTTTCTAAATTTTGTATAGATTTTTTATATAATAAAATTATTATTATAATATAAATAAATATTATATTTATTTTTATTACTTTAAGTCATGTATTTATATGATTTAAATTTGAATAAATATTGTATATTTTTAATTTTTTTACTTTTCATAATTATAATTTGCTATCAAATTTGTTTAACTAACTAACTACAAATGTATAGTAAGAATAAAGCAATACATTTTTAAGTACATCCATCCTAATGATAAATATAATATATTATCTCCACTAAGTTACCACTTGATCTTTCCTTGCATTTATATAAAGCAAAATACCACTTTAAAAAAAGATTTATTAATTAATATGATTATTTTGAATTAGAAATTTTATTTATTTATCAAATATTTATTATAAACATATGTTACTGTTATTAAAATCACCAAACTATAATTAATAACATTCATATCAAAACCATTTCTATTGCTTTAGAACTAAAATAGAACATTTGGTTTAGACTGTTGAAATATTGATTTAGCTGTTTAGCTGAAGTTAGATAATCAGATTTTTTGTTACTGTAAACATATGGTAACTTGGAATTTCAGCACCGAAAAATTTGATCTTCTTACAAAAAGCAAGAAATCGCATTTCCCGTCAAAACTCCAAAAAAAAAAATATATTTTCTCACGAAAACTGAGAAATCGCCTATTACTGCCAAAATTAAGAAATTTCATTTTCTCGTTAAACCAAAAATTTAATTTTCCCACCAAAACCGAGAAATTGCATTTTTCCGCAAAATCAAGAAATCACATATCTCGGCGAGAACCTGTGTTTTCTCGCCAAAACTGAGAAATCATGTTTTCTCACCAAAAGCAAAAAATTCATCTTTCCACAAACACCAAAAAATCGTATTTTCCCGTCAAACTCAAAAAATTTATATTCTTACGAAAACCAAGAAATTGTTTATTCCTACCAAAACTAAAAAATTTCATTTTCTCGTCAAACCAAAATTCACGTTTTACTACCAAAATCGAGAAATTACATTTTTCCGCAAAAACTGATAATTTCATTATCTCGCGAGACATTGCGTTTTCCCGCGAAACTAAAAATTGCATTTTCCAGCGAAAGCTAAAAAATTACATTATCCATCAAAAACTGGAAATTTGCATTTCTCATAAAAACCGAGATATTGCTTATTCCCGCCAAATCCAAAATTTTTTTTTTTCCCATCAAACCGAGATATTGCCTTTTCAACCAAAATTTTCAAACTTCATATTCCAGCCAAAACTAAGAAACCGCATTTTCCCGTGAAAACCAAAAAATTGAATTATCCGTCAAAACTTGAAAATTTGCATTTTCCATTAAAAAGAGGAATCGTATTTTCCATTAAAATTGAAAAGTTGCATTTTCCATCAGAACTGAGAAATCGCATTTTCCAGTCAAAACCAAGATATTTTGTTTTCTCGTCAAAATTAAAAAAATATATGTTTTCCCCCAAAACTGAAAAATCATCAAAAACTGAAAATTGCATTATCCATCAAAAACTGAAAATTTGCATTTCCCATAAAAACCAAGATATTGCTTATTCCTGCCAATTTTATTTCCCATCAAACCGAGATATTGCATTTTCCGCCAAAATTATCAAACTTCATATTCCAGCTAAAACTAAGAAATCGCATTTTTCTACGAACCAAAAGATCGAATTTTCCATCAAAAACTAAAAATTTGCATTTTCCATCAAAACGAGAAATCATATTTTCCATTAAAATTGTAAAGTTGCATTACCCATCAGAACTGAGAAATCGCATTTTCCAGTCAACCAAAATATTTTGTTTTTTCATCAAAATAATAATAAAAAAAATATTATTTTCCCCCAAAATCGAAAAATTATATTTTGCCGCAAAACCCTAGAAATCGCATTTTCCCATCATAAATGAGAAATTATGTTTTCTCACCAAAATCTGAAAATCACATTTTTCGCCAAAATCGAGAAATCCCTTATTCCCGCCAAAACCGAGAAATCCCCTATTTCCGCCAAAACCAAAAAAAATTATTTTCTCGTTGAACCGAGATATAATGTTTTCCTAACAAAGTTAAGAAATTGCATTTTCCCACAAGAACCTTGAAATTGTATTTTCCCGCGGAATCCAAGAAAAATCGCTTTGCCCATCAAAATCGAGAATTCGCATTTCCTATCAAAATCGAGATATTTCGTTGTGCCATCATAACCGAGAAATTTTGTGTCCCGTCAAAACAGAGAAATTTTATTTTCCATCTAACTGAGAAATCTCATTTTCCCGTCAAAACTGAGAATTTTCATTTTCTTGTTCAAACTATGTAATTTTTCTTTCACATCAAAACCGAGAAACTAAGCAAAGACCAAGCCGTAAACATAGGTGATTTCGGTGTTTCTGATGTCAATGTCGCTGAGATTGAGATTTTCACGAATGATTGGGAGGAAGCCCGATCTGCAGAGCTGGGAAAGTGGAGACAAAGCAGCAGAATAATTGAAACCATGAGAGATGGAAAGCTCTCAAGTGAGGCTTAGGGACAGAGAATAATCGAAAAGTTATTGATTTGTTCTCGGTAACCATGGGAAGTGCGAATCTCCAAGCTGTGGTGGTATGAGATTCTCCTCCTTTGTTTTCGATCTCCATATTTTGTAAACTTTGGACCTTTTAATGGGTTAACAAAATAGTTAACTGATTTTATTATTGTGTTAATGATATGTATTATTGTTATATTTTTATTGGTTCAAAAGTTTGCTGATGTGTGAGCTTCTTATAACATAAGGCTTTTTGCTTTGTTGTCATAAAAATATAGTTGATGCTTATAAGAAAGATAATGAGCTATCCAAGCTCCAAAATGGATTTTTGATGTAATTAAAGCTTGACATTGGTTGAAAACGGTGGTTGGGTAAATTGATGATGATGACATTTTCATAAATAAGTGAGGAAGATGAGGATAATTTGGTCAATTGGATATCCAAAAATAAAAGAAATTAATTTGAAGTAATGGTTATTTCGTAAATATTTGGAACTAAAGAGGACTGTTTGGACACAAAATGGTTAATATTGAAAGGTTGAATTTTGTGGATTAGATTTGCATTTCAAATCAAGTTTTAAGTCATTTTTGCAAGTGTCCCTTTATTTTTTGCCAAAACCAAACTGAAATAATAAATAACAGCAAATTAGAAAATTAAAAACTCCCGCTATTTGTTTGCATGACAGATGTTTCCATGAAAACAAAGCAAAAGGCCTTATGTTGTAAGAAGCTCACACATTAGCAAAAATTTGAACCAATAAAAACATAACAATAATGCATATCATCAACACAATAATAAAGTCAATTTACTATTTTGCTGACCCATTAAAGAGTCTAAAGTTTACAACAAAATAGAGCTCGAATGCAAAGAAGGAGAAGCTCAGACCACCACAGCTTGAAGATTCACACTTCTAGTGGTTACCGAGAGC